ATGGCTCTTCAAATGATGATATAGAGAGTGAGATTTAGAAAGGCTCTTGGAGATGCTCAAAGGAGTTGAACGCCATAACCCCATTTCACCTCCCGCGCACACTTGTTTCTTATTTCCTTCTCACTTCTACCGTGGCATCTTTATTGGGCTATTCTAAACCACCACACACGGTGCTTTTCTTTTCTTTTTTTAAGAAACAGGAGGGGTTTTACCCTCTACTGAAATTTTATTAAAAAAGAACAGTGTTACAAAGGCGTCTTCACAAAACAAAAAAAGGTTAGAAGAAAATAAGAAAAATAACACTAGCCATAAATCGATTCTTGGATGAAAAGCTGTCTTTGCTCATAGCTTAACTAAAGCAAATTCTCTCCTGCTTTTCTGATTAACAATGCAATGAAGAACACAAACGCTAACCCGTGTCCACCGCGCTGTAACGCGACCCCGTGCCCTCTCTCTCTCTCTCTCTCTCTCTCTCTCTCTCTCTCTCTTCTTTCCCATCTTCGGCGGCCTCATAGAAGAGCTTTGGGGAGGCAGGTAGGTCAGACGGTGGGGACGAGAGAGACGACGGCGGGGCAAAGGCGACGGTGACACCTCGGAGCGGATGGTGGAGGAGACGGCCAGGCCAGATCGGGCGGGTGAGACCATGGCTATTGCGGCGGTGGAGGAGGGGAAGAAGGTGAAGCCGTGGAGGGAAGCTTCAGTTCGTGCAAACAGTTGTGCACTGATATGTGACTATTCATACTCAAGTGACAAATGGCATAGGGACTTACATGATAGCGCATGGCAGAGAGCTTTCTTCTTAAAAGCACTACTACACAAATCTTTTCCGAGGCAGACATTTTTTAGAGCTTTCTTCTTAAAAACACTACTACACAAATCTTTTTCAAGGCGGGCGTTTTTTATTAACGGAAGCGGGCATTGCAACCGCCTCCGTCCAAAGGTCACGGTTAATCGTCGATTAATTGAGGTGGTTGCTTTGCCCGCCTCGGTTAATCAATTAACAAGGCGGGCAAGTTAAATTGCCCGCCTCCGTTAATATTCTCCAAAAAAACACTACCACATCTCTACCACTGCACCGCACACTCTTTCATGTCTATATATAATATACAATCTTTTTATATCAATATTTTGTAATCTTATATTAGATATTTTAGCTACTAAATGAACTCAAATGAAAAAACTTTTAACTACAAAGTTTTAAATATTGTGAAGTACTACAACTTTGGTATAGGATATATCTCCATCAGAGATAGTTTGAAAAATTCAAAAAAAAAGTCTCGGAACATGTGAATTTCAAACACATATTTAAGACTCTATGTGACTTTAAATAAAAAACGTGTCAATATCAAACATGTACATCAGGTGGGGCACTAGAACTTTGGTATTAACTATGTAAACATTTGAGAATGTCTAGGAATTCGAAATTTTAAATTTCAAAATCTATAACCTTCGAACACATATTTGGGACTCTTAACATATTTAAATTGAAAACTTTTCAACTACAAAGTTGTAGACTCTATTGAGAATTATAACTTTTGTATAGACCATGTCAACATCGAAGATCGTTTGATAATTTTAAATTTCAAATTTCAAAATCTATGCACTTACAACAATATTTTAGGACCCTAAACAGTTTCAATTCAAAAACTTTTCAACTACAAAGTTGTAGATCTCGTCGAGAGCTACAATTTTGATATAAAGTTTGTATTCATCCGAATTCATATGAAAAAGTTATGAATTATTTTTTGTTGCAATGGCGGACATCTTAAGACGCCCGCCTCCGTGAATCGATTTACGGAGGCGGACGCTTATAATGACCGCCTCGGAAAATAATCGATTAACCGAGGCGTTTGACCTGTAATGCCCGCCTCGATTAATCAATTAACCGAGGTGGTTGCGTTAGGGCAACCGCCTTGGTTAATAGACATTAACCGAGGCGGTTCCGTTACGTTGCCCGTCTCGGTTAAAACATTAGCTGTGGCGGTTGCTGGGTCGGTACCCGGCCACCGAATAACGGAGGCGGGTAACCGGCCCAACCACCTCGAGGCCAAAAGGCAAATGTCTTGTAAAAGTTTTTGTATAGTAGTGAAGCGAAGAGTTTTGAGACCCTTGAGCTTGTACTCGTGTCATCCTGATTATCTGCACTCGGTGTTGAGGCCGTTGAGAATGTACGTTGTTATCTGCTCGTCATCCAGTGGCTTGTCAACCGCAGCCATATCTCGTCATAGAGGGAGCGATCTTGGTGAAGTATTCGGTGATGGATGTAGCCCCCTGTTCTGAGTTGTAGAGAGGGCTAGGCGCACATTCACGGACACATCTAGGGCGGGCTCCTCACATCACAACTAGAAAAGAACTAAAAGCTACGCTTTAATTCGATTTCGAAAGTGCCAACCAAACTTTACAAAACCCGCCATAATCATCATCTCCAAGCTTCTGCAGCCATGCTTAAACGACGGATACTCGTCCTTCTTGTGCAGCAGGACCACTGTCGGATCCAGTGTGTTGTTCTGAAAATTACCTGCGCAAACATGTGTTAGACTTAACCTACATCTTTGATGCGGCCGTGTCACACCTGAAGGCCAAGAGCACGAGTATGATGCTCCAGATGACACCTAGTACATGCTTGATGCGGCCGTGTCACACCTGAAGCCTTCTCCATCTCTCCGGCCAGCGCACGTGTCATCACAGCTCCCACCCACCCAGCAAATACACTCGATCGGACGAGAGCACCCCCCTCACTATATAAATACTCCTCCGGCCTCCGGTCTCATCTCAGTCCCAAGAGCAACGCGAGATCACTACACGACCTCAAGTCACCAGCCATTGTTGATCAGCAAACCCAGCTCGAGCTAGGAGCAAGCAATGGAGTTCATGCTCGGCGACCCGGCGTTCTCGGCGGCGGTGCAGCACCTGATGGACCTGCCCGACGAGCTGGAGCGGCAGTTGAACGCGCCGACGCGGGCCTACGTGCGCGACCGCCGGGCCATGGCCAACACGCCCATGGACGTCAAGGAGCTGCCATCCGGGCCGATCGTCCTGGCCGTCGACATGCCCGGGGTCAGCCTCGCCGACGTCAAGGTCCAGGTGGAGGAGGGCAACGTGCTCGCCATTAGCGGCGAGCGCAAGCGCCCCTCCGAGGACGGCGCCGACGGCAACCAGCAGGCCGGCGCCGACGGCAGCGAGCAGCAGGGGGTGAAGTACCTGAGGATGGAGAGGCGGATGGGCAAGTTCATGAGGCGGTTCCCGCTGCCGGAGAGCGCCGACCTGGACAGCATCCGCGCCGAGTACAAGGACGGCGTGCTCACCGTCATCGTCGACAAGAAGCCCCCGCCCGAGCCCAAGAAGCCGCGCGTCGTCCAGGTCACGCTCGGCGGTGAGCAGCAGGGCGAGTAAGGAGGCGACATACGCGTGACCGATGCTCGTCATCAGCCGGACATGGCGGGTGACGAGCGAATAACAAAGAGGGTGTGATGCTTTCTTTGTTATGCACTTCTGCTTGGTAGTAGTTGCTAGTTAGTAGAATAAGTGACTGTAATAGTCATTGTACATGCATGTACTTCGAGTGTTTCTGCTTGTATCAGTTCCCGGACCCCCTCCCTCTTCCGCTCCGGCAGCTCGCCGGCGGCGACGGGAGGTGGGTCGGCCCCTGTCCAGTCGTCCAGTATATCTAGTTTACCTTCCGTACCGCCCCGCCGCCCATAGTGGTGCGTTCTTTGGAGCTCTGCCCGCAGATGGTGCGGTGGATGCTCCCAACCTTCGTCGCCGGCGTTTTTTCTCTACGTTTGGTGGGGGATGTGCTCATCGACGTTGCTCTTCCCGTCAATGCCGTCATCGGCAGCCGTGTCATAGGGCTTGCATCGGTGTCGTCCTTTGGGCGCGGCGCGCTCTTCCGCGAGAGCTGCTGAGTGCTGACTGCTGACTGCCACGTCCCGTGGCCCGGTCTTGCTCGGAGTGGGCGTGGGGTTCCTCGCCGCGGGCGGCAGTTCCTCTGCTCCCTTCCTCCGGCCCCCATGGACTCTCGGCAGCTGCATCGTGCGCCTGGTCGCAATGGTTGTGCGGTCTTTGGCTTCGTCGAAGCCGTCGGTCCTGTCGCTGTTGCTGTGGTTTGTGCTGCTGCCGTGCCCAGGAAGGTCTCCTCGGCGGCGATCTGTCTCTGCCGTCGGCGTTGCCGCGTTGGGCGGTCTCTCCTGGATGGTGCTCTGGTGGCGTGTTCAGGGCTCCTCCCCCACAGGAAGGACCCGTGTTGAACATGCACATCACAGTCGGTTCAGTACTTTGATACAGTACTTGTTTTCGCCACCTACCATTCAAGGACGAGTTAAGGTTCTTTCCGGCAGTCCGGCACTATTCTTCTGCTTGATAGCAAACTCGGAAGGGATAAAGCGTCAGCTAACTTCTTCAAACTCAGAAGTAACAAGGCATCAGCTAACTTACAAAAAAAATGCGATGGTTGTATTGCTTGCTAACTGCTACTCTCTCTGCTTCACATTACAAGACGTTTCGGCTTGTCTAGATGTATTGCATTCTACATAAGCATAGCACATTGCCTTTTAATACAGAAGCTAATTATGGATGCAGACAAAAAAAAATCGCCAAATTCAAGAGGTATCTTCTGAGAAAGAAAGGATATGAAGGTACATGCATTTTTTGTCAACATCCTTAATCTGTTTGGAAACATCATAGAAACTTATTTATTATGAGACGGAGGAAGTACATGGCAAAAGTTATGGGAGTGTTTGACTGGCATTTGACGGAGGAAGTACATAGCAAAAGTTATGTATTAAAAAAGCTAAAATATTTTATAATTTGGAATATAAGGAGTATATTAATTTGGAATGGGGGGAGCATGTGGCTATGACATGCAGTATGGCAACATGTTATCTCGAGTAGGAGTTAAAAAATGAATCCAAAATTCGGAAAAAGATTGAAACCTAGCTAATTCCACATTGACTACCAAAAATAGCAATGGTACATCAAAATTGATCCCAGAACATCTTTCATCACCAGAGGATCATCCTGGACAGCCTCAAGGAGCTGAATGCCCTGACCCCATTTCGCCTTCGGCGCGCTTGTTTCGTTCTTACTTTTACCGTGGCATCTTCGCTAGGCTCTTCTGAAGTACCACCCACCTCTTTTCTGACGAACAATGCAATGAAGAAGCCCTCCAGGCCATCCTCTGGGTCCGTCCGAAGCAAATGTTCAGCTGCAAAGCAAATGAGGGAAGCCATGGTGACTGGTGAGGGAGGCTACATTCAGAGACATTCACTGGGAGTTGCATTCAACTATTTGGATGCAGAGGGCGTACATCCTTGGAAAACTGGAAGGCCGCGGCGGTGCCACTGAGGGAACGGTGTGGCGAGCTCAAATCCGAGGGATGTAGCTAAGGGCAGGACGGAGTTCACGACATCCTCGTTCTCTGCCTGGTGGATTGAGCAAGTGCTGTAGACCACCCTCTCCAGTGAGGGAACTACAAAGGTCAAGCCGTGGAGGGAAGCTTCAGTTCGTGCAAACAGTTGTGCACTGACATGTGACTATTCAAGAGAGAAATGGCACAGGGACTTACATGATAGAGCATGGGAGAGAGTTTTCTTCTGGAAAGCGGAGAGTTTCATGACCCTTGAGCTTGTACTCACGTCATCCTGATTATCTGCAGAGCAAATCTTATTTCACGAGATATTGTGATGAAAAGTTACTAAATGGTGGCACCCCAACCTTGTTCCCTCCCTTCCCCTCCTTCAAACTAGATAGATAGTCTGCAGATCAGAACGAACTAGGCCAAAATAACAGTGGAGCACCACTTTATTATACACCAAGAAATATATACAAACTCTAAATATATGTGAATACTGTACTAGTCAGTAGCAAAAAAAATAAAAATGAATGTGGTGTATATGCACCATAATGATAAATGTGCCTTCACACCTGCCCCCTATGCTGATAATGCAAACAATTCTTAGTGACACAGTTGTTTCATAGTTTCAAGCCAAATAAGACAAGTAGGAGTATTGTGCTAACTACAGAAGGTTAACCTTGCCCAACAGCTTAATATGTAACTGATGCTACTCACAACACACACAGAATCAAATAACATTCCTCCTTTTTTTTAAGAAGGAAACAAAATAAAATAGCAGAATTGTTGCTACAAAAGCCTTTAGTTACCTCTAGAATGTGAAGGAAGCAAATAATCAAGTCTCTCTGCAGATATTCCAGAACCAGAGCACGAGGGGTCCAATAGAATAGCACGGACCTGCAACAATCACCATCATCACATCAATGCAAATGAAAATCATGGATAATGGTTCTGCAAGACGAAAGAAAACTACTAATGTGTCCAGTGAGGTTAATAAGTTACCAACAGAAGTGGAGGTATCTACAAACCTCAGCATATGATGGATCGTTTGTATCTATTTCCAGAAAGTCGCCATTAACTATTTGAATATCTTTAGCAATAAGTTCAGAAATGTGGTTGTCATATCAAATGTACTATAATGAATATTGTTGAACATAATGGATAACACATGACAAGAACACATATCATTGGATGAAGATCAAATGACTAGTGAATACACATGAAAACTAATTTTGTGCTTTTGCAGTAAGGAGACAAGAACAGTTTAACAGTAAAAACTACACAAAAGGAATACAATATAATTGCAAGGTTGATAGATCTAAAAGATCATCAGGAAAGGATACTATTTGCTCCAGATCTTCTGACAGTATGTTGCAATGTCTTGGCCCTCTCTTTGTTAAGTTCGCAAGCTATAATACTCCCCTCTCCATTCATGAGCGCAGCAAGGTGAACTGTTTTGTTCCCTGGAGCCGCACAAGCATCAATAACCTAAGTTTAAATGTTCAAACTGAAATTAATATTCGAGATTATATAACTATAAAAGGTGATATGACAAACTGAAATTTTCAACTGGTACATCAGAGTGCAACATTCTTTACAGCACCCACGGCATAAATCGATGAAGCAAATCCATAAACAAGCATAGAAATTCTGTTTTCTACATAAAAATAAAATAAACATTGAGTGAAAATATCAGTACTATTTATTGTATCCATACCTGAATGACCACATTTTTTAAATAAGAAGATGATAGATAGAAACTTAGGGAGTAGAGATGGGATATTTTCCAAGTTAAGTTAGAAGCATACACAGTACTATATTCTAGAGAGCATTATTTTGTAAATCCCAAACTATCCAGTCAGATGGTAACACCAAAGATAATAAATAATACTTATCTTCAGTGAAAATGATGGCAAAATAAAATATCAATAAATTTTAGTCCGCCAGATGTAACACACTAACCTTCCAGCCTGGCTTAGGGCACAATGCAACTGCTACCATACAACTAGCTCTCCCCTATGAGAACAGGTAGAAATGAAGAAAAAGGTCAATTACACAATTATTATAAATCATGTGACTTTCTCAAAAGTAAGCAAAAGAATCAGAAGGTCACCTGCAAAAACACTTTCCCATCTGTAACCAATGGATGGTTATGCAGATCAGTTCCAGGTGGGAGTACCAACATGTCTGGAACCATATCATCTTTGTCAACCTATTCAATACTGAGTGACTGAGTCAAAGTCTCATCAACAACGGACAACGGTAGAGCTCAAAAGTAAGGTTGCAGTTGCAAAGATAGCTTCATAATGGAACATCAAACTAGAATGATGTTACTCAGATCAATATGCTTGCTTAATAGCCGTAAAAGATAGATGAAATACCATGTGTATTTTGTTCAATTCTTCAATGACAGACTCTGTAGTGATCTTGAGCGTGTTAACACGAAGAAATCGGGGCTTTGGTTTGGCTGAAGAAAAAGAGAATAATGAACAGCATGGCATGCATATAAATTCGAAAGTAGCATATAGTTTATGTTCACTGAGGACTGTACATCATTAACAGATAGGAATCAAACAAATGCAGAGAAACAGTTGTTCTACACCCTTTCAGCAATCAGGAAACACGATTGCGATCCTAATAGTGGCAAGCAAATCAATTTGCCAAGCATGAAACTGACCGAAACTAGTAATTTATTTTGGGAGGGCATTTCTTAAAATATAATCCACAATTTGCCAAGAGATAAGTCATTGTCAATTGCCATAACAAGGCAATTAGACAAATGTGCACAAACATTGAAAGCAGAAGATAGACAATATAACATAGCGTGGACAATAGTTTTCAGTAATGACACAAGGAAATGAACTCAGATGATCATCAGCACACGAGACATTTAAAGTTCACAATCGTACCACCATGATTATGCAGTGTAGAGAAATTTAATTTAGTGAGCTTTTTTTTTTAACCACTCCAGAGCTTGAAGCCTTGAACAGTGAAATGAATACATTTGATTATGAATAGTCAAGATCATGACTGGCTCAGGGTAGAATTGGGAGTACTCATATTGCTAAAAATAGTGAAATATAAGCTACAAAGAAGGTGGTCAGGGAGAAGGGTACCGGCTGTTTTATTGCCCAATAGGTCTTCAACACAGCTGACTTTCCTTCTGGCACAAAATTTATCAAGAGTAGTCCTAAGAGAACCTTTATGTAGCATAACTAATTGCTCGACTGACCCAGAAACTGCAATTCCCTGGGAATGCCATTTCATGTTAGATTATCTTTAATTGGAAGAAGAGAATGAATACACAACTGATTAAGTTGAATGACATGTCAAACTCGTTTTTCAATAGTGGAGGGAAGCAAATGAGTAAAATGGTACAATGAGTAATCAAATGCACAGCTCAAAGTATAACATTAATAGAAACAAGATTTGAACTTAACAATTTAAGGAATAGATAAAGTAAATGCACAAAAACTGTACAACAAATTCGTTGGTTCAATACTCTTAAGTAAATGATGACAAACCTGACCAAAGAGAATGTCATAGGTAGTCACATAAACCAATTCCTTCTGTTTCTGCAAGTGAAAAGGAAATACAACTTAGTTAACAGAGCCTTTGCTTCCTCCAGGTGTTTTTTTTTAGGTAAGGCATTATTATACATTGCTAATGAAGAGGCATGTCTAAACTCTAAAGCCAACATGTCAAACTGTCAACAACAATGATAAAAACATAATGCAGCAAGAAAGATTTAGTTACATCACAACAATTGATGCAGTTGGCTCACCTTCCATTTGCTGTTCAGTATTCCACTAGATGTTAAAACCTCTTTAAGAATTGGTAGATCTGACAAAAGGAAACAAAGAAGCATGAAGGGAGAAGTCAACAAAACGAAACACAATTTGAAGTATCAAAGCCCTCAACAGAACACATAACCATTGCTCTATTCAAGCAGCAGGAACTATAGTTGTCCTCCACTTACACTCAGATGACTAACACCACACTCCCAAGACTAACACCCAGCAAGTATGTGACTTTATTAACAAGTTAAATCTGGCTTCTTTCAAAGTTGATGGCTTGAGCGTAAACACTGAGGTGCCAAGCAGTGAAGTATATTCATTGTCAAATTTAGAAGTGCATCTTGCATCGTGCATCATACTTGTATGACCTGCACATGTGTGCATCAACAGCTCCGTTCTTGCTACAACTCTATGGCTACAAGTCAACAACTCTAAACAGCAGATAATGCACCCAGCCACCCAACACAGCCGCACCAGAGCTCTGCAATGGCATTCCGTCGAACACCTTGCGCGCCAGAGCACGCAAGGCAGCTCGAAGCAAGCTGGGGCGGCGCTTACTTACACTTGAGGGTCTGGCAGACGAGAGCGAAGGTGGCGCGCTTGTTGCGGACGGTTGGGGAGTATACAAGGGATTTTATGGAGCCCGCGGCGCGCCTAGTGGCGTCCCCGCGGAGCACGCGCCGGAGCACAGCTGCTGCCTCTCGCCGCGCGAAGAACGCGGCCCGCTCCGCCGCGTCCCGGCTCGCCATCTGACGCTGGGGCCGCCGGTTCTCTCCGGTCGGCGCGGGACCAGGGCTGCGATTCTTAGGCTGTTGCGGTGGCGGCGGCATGGCTGACGGCGCCTGTCCGTCTTCGGAGTTCGGAGTTGCGAGGGTTTTTCCTTTTTTTGGCGCTGGGGTGCCACGCCCACCGCTGTGATTGCGACTGAAGAGCCCAAGCGTTTCTGTGAAGAGCCCAAGCGTTTCTGTTTTTCTTTTTATTATTCTTGTTATTTGTTTATTACTGCCCTTTTTTAAAACTAGTATAATGTCCGTGCTAACGCAACGATTTTATCTAGAGAATAATCATAAAAACTATCCAATTTGTTATTTTGTAGTTTAATATTTACCCAATTATTATATTGTAGTCTAAGTTACATTTGACGTAAGTCATTTATCATGTGTTGCACATCTTCAGGGATGTTGAAACATTCGTTTGCAGGACTCGTCAAAATGTCAACCAAGAATTCCTTCCTCAATGTAGATGATAACTGCGCATGGTATAGAATATAATATGTTAGTATTGTATAGTGTACATAATATAGTTGGAGACTATATATGCTTACAGTGGTGATCCGTGACAATCTTACGCCATCCCACGATTTCATGAAATTATAGACAAGAAAGCCTCCCAATTTCCTGACGGAGAAGATCAGTTGTTTATTTGATGTACATAAATCAAATTATTGTTTTTTTATAGAATAGTTGAACCAAATTTTACGACACTTACCAGTATTTATGACCCGAAATATTTGTTACATATTTAGGGTATTTTCACTCCCAGTAATAAATTTTTTCGCTCCACCAAGAATTTGATAGTGCCATGGCGAGATTGAACATTCTAGCATTAGTGTGGGATGTAGGTATATATGCCATTTCTTGATGATAACCCTTCAAACATGCATTATCTGGTAGCGGTTCAAGCGGATCCATAATGTGCACAGTTTTGTTTTGCATGTCCAGTATGAATAAAATGTATAGTCCATTCTGATAATGTGGTAGTAGGATCTAAAAACAAACACACATATTGTAAGTGGTTCATAAATAAAATAAATAAATTCTTATAAAGTAGTCGTCGTGCTTTTCGGCCTGTTGTGACGGTGGTCGCGGTTGTCATAGCGCCGTTCTTCGTGGCAATCATCATTGCGACGTGGTCTGGTGGTCGAGGTGGTCGGAGCTCGGCGGAGCCGCTCGGGACGTGGTCGACGTGGCTGCTCGATCAGTTCGGTGGTCGGAGGGTTGTCGGCGTGGCTGAAGAAGATGCTGGTGTGGCCGGAGCTAGATCCAACGTGGTCGGAGCCGTAGCCGATGCTGGTGAAGCAGTGGTCGACGTAGATTGGATCTACGCTTCCTCCGTGGTCATGGCGATGAAGTTGTCGGAGCCGGTGGTCCAGGTGACCTGGCCGATGGTGAACGTGAGGCCGTTCGACGTAGCCATGGAGCCGAAGATGATGACCATCTTGTTCGTCTGGGGAGCAGTACGCACACCCCCTACTGGGTGCCATCTCGAAGCGTTTTGAGACAGGGTAGGAAATGCCACGACGCACACCCAAAAAAAGAAAACAGAGGACCATGGTCAAGGGACCTCACCTAGCGCAACGGTTCCATTTACGTGACTCACATAAAAATAAACAAACAAAAAAAAATTTCCAATAGTCTCAGTTGACTTATATTTAATCATACATTCTGTAGCACACTCATAAGAAGGCACAATAAAGTCGTATATGGCATATTACAAAACTGACATGATATTATTTTTACATTATAAATTAACAACGATATAAGGTCGTATGTCCCATGGAGTAAGCAAAGGTTGAGAAGGCATCAATCATGGAAAGACTGCGACGTCACAAATTATTTGTGGTTTAAAAAAATTCAATACTAAATAAAAATATAAAATGTTTGAGTAGACCCACCATTAGTCAACAGTTTAGGACGTCTTTATAAATAATATTTTTGGTGAAGTTGCAATCTAATTCCTGATTTGGTTTTACCAAAACTCTTGTCGTTGATCTTGACACACCCCTCGACAATGCAACATAAAGTTGTCCATGTGAGAACACAGGTTCTGGAAGATATATTCCAACATTTGGAATGGTTTGCCCTTGCGCTTTATTGATGGTCACTGCAAAACTCAACCGAATTGGGAATTGTTTCCTCTTCAATTTAAATGGGAGTGAAATATCATCGGATGGAGACATAGGGATCCTAGTTATGAACACTCTCTTTCCTTGATGTTGCCCAGCAACAATTTCTGTGTCAATTGCATTGTCTTGGAATGCTCTAACCATTAGTCTTGTTCCATTGCACACGCCATTATTATGATCAAGATTGCGCAGTAGAATAACGGGGCAGTTGGTCTTTACTTTCAGCACATGTGGAGGGAGACCGTTTGGAGTAATAGAGTTCAGAAATTCAATTGGGTAGTTGTTAACTGAATCATCATCAACAGAGTCGAAGCTATGATAAACCTTCTCCTCACCTGGAAACATGGCAATCATCTTTGAGTTTAGTTGATCAACATGCTCATTTTTTGTTGAAAGGATGGCACGTGTGCTCATATATTGTGCTAATCTCGCATTTTGCACAAGTGATGGGAAAACATTCTGAATGAGCATGTTTATAGAATCTTCATTATCATGTGTATAACCAATCACAATATCTTATAGCAGGCGAACATAATCATCTCTGATGGTTTCTTCAGTTCCATTACCAATTCTAAGGAGGTAACTTGAAAACCATGGGTCAGTTTGAGCCCTCATGTTACGTGTCAATCTTATCTTATGCATATTGTCCCACAAATAAGATCTTTGTAATGACGCATCAGTTACCTGTGCTCTATTTCCACGTGGAACTACCGGAACAACCTGCCTAAAATCTCCTCCAAACACCATAACCTTACCCCCAAACGGCAAGGTGCAGCCCATAATATCTTGGAGAGACCTATCAAGACACTCCACTGCTTGACGCCTTATCATAGCAGCTTCATCCCATATAATCAAGGACGCCATATGGAGTAACTTAGTAGTGTCGTCTTGCTTTGAAAAGGTGCACGTGCTATTCTCTTTAAGTGTAATGGGGACTTTGAATCTTGAGTGTGCTGTGCGTCCTCCAGGCAATATTGATGCTGCTATGCCAGATGTTGCAGTAGCAATTCCTATTAATCCCTCCGAGCGCACTCTGGCAAGAATCGTCTTGTATAGGAATGTTTTTCCTGTTCCTCCTGGACCATCAACGAAGAACACTCGGCTCTTGTTATTGAATACATGATGTATAATTTCATCAAATCCTGCTCGCTGGTCGATGTTAAGTGACTTATATAAATTCAGATCTTCTTGGTCCACTTGTATGGAAAGCTCCTCTCTGACCTCTCTCATGGTGTCATTGGAAAATTCAACTGTTGATCGATAGAAAGTAATACAAGTCAGTTATGATGGAACGAGGAAAATGTAATCAGGCTAAAAAATGTCCAATTATTTATCAAAAGAAGAAGAAGAAGAAATAAAGAAAGGGATGGAATTAGTTTGTATGAAACTTACCGGCATCATTGAGCTCAGGAAGGTCATAACTTCTAAACTTCTTCCCCATCGACTGAATCATCTCTCTAATGTCTCTAAGTGCCATTTGCTCGACCTAGCACCAAATAATATTAATAATAAAAAGATAGCAATCAGATGACCTACAAAGAGCATTCTTTAGCACCTGGCTGATCTGGTGCATTAGGAGGTGCCGTTGTTTGTGCATTTCGCCGAGCACGATAGTCCCGCTGGTACTCTCGCTGCCTCTTATTTCTCTCCTCCCTTTGCTCGCTTGTTTCTTGAGCCCTAATCCTAACGCGGTACTAAGGCTAGGACGAAAAACTCGAAGCTCGTTAGCTCGCTCGGCTCGTGGCTGGCTCGACTCGGCTCGGCTCGGCTCGTTATGATAACGAGCCGAGCCGAGCCAGAATTTTAGCTCGTTAGCTATAACGAGCTAACTCGAGCCAGCTCGCGAGCCGCTCACGAGCCGCTCGCGAGCTAAACGAGCCAAGCTTCCGGGGAAAAAAGTATTATTTAAGGTTGTTAGATGCATGAATACTATAGTATTTTATTATACTTGTATATATATTAGCGCATATTAATTTTTTATTCGATTTAAGGTTGTTAGATGCATTTCTTTTGTATTATTATTATTCTCAAACTTTAGATAAATGCAAATATTATATTTTGTGTATTTTTTATACCTGGCTCGCGAGCTTAACGAGCCAGCTTGAGCTTTTAACGAGCCGAGCCGAGCTGGCTTTCTGGCTCGTTAGGATAACGAGCCGAGCCGAGCTAGCTCGTTATCTTAACGAGCCAGAACGAGCCGAGCCTAAACGAGCCGAGCCGGCTCGTTATCCAGCCTTACGCGGTACTCACGTTGTTTTCTATTCCTTTCCTCTCTCCTGCGTTGTTCTTCGCTGCAAGCTGTTGACATGGCCTTGTTTATTTATATACTTTTATAGATGATGGCTTATATAAAAAATATGAGTGTATGAAAATACCTGGAGTAGGTATGTTCATTACATCGCTGAGCGCAGTGCGGCCTTCTCTGGCGTCTCCATTTTGTCGTCAAGGGCTAGTAATAATAATATAATAGACATGTCCATTAGAACCATGATATATCTTGCCGTCAGTGGTTATTTGAATACTGACATCTGAACCACCTAAATGCTAATCTGAACCTCTAAATGCTAATCTGAACCTCTGAATTTGAAGATGAAAATTTTTCCTAACGTACTTGCTACATCTCTGAACATCTGAACCGCCTTGACAAGTGACCGATAGTACTTCGAAAAAAAATCTGCATTTTGTAGTTTCATATATACTATGATCAAAAGTAAAGATAAAAAAAATCATGTACCCTATACGCATATATACGTATATATACGCAGTTAGGTGTATGCATGTGTTCAGATGCGATCTCAGAACAAAGACAGGAGCTGGGCATGGAACATATATACGACGGCATGGATCCATCTCGGCGGCAACATGTTGACGATCGAAGTACACAGGCGTACCTGATCTCCTCGCTCGCGACCACCTCGCCGACCACGCGTCCTCCTCACGCGCGTGATCGTAGCGGCCGCGAGAGACGACGATCGCGGCAGGAGCGAGACGTATGCGACGGCGCTGGTGCACCTTGATCCTCGCTCGCGATAACCTCGGCGGCCGCGCGCGCGATCACCGCCTACTCGCCTCCTCCGCCGACCGCGGCAGGAGTAGCAGCGCCTCCTCCGCCTCCGTGCGTGTTCGGGAAGTTCCGTAATTTTTGGCGGCGTGGCGTTCGTAATACTCGGTGGGGGCTGCATGACGTGGATGTGGGGGAGAATGAGGAGATTTGATACACTCAATCCAGGCCCTCGATTGTGTAATGAGTAAGGAGAGAGAATGCTTAGAGTGCATCTGGACGGTTTGTTTGAAATGTGTTGTTTTCCTGTGTACACTTTTTGGGATGGACTTAGAGAGGACATCTCAGCGGGTGGTCGTTTTCTTGTGTGGACGTAAGAAAGAAAAGATGATGCATTAGTATGGTAGATAAAATCACATCTCAAACTTAGATGAGTAGATCAATCTCAAGTTTAACTATATCTGACAAAAATAATATAGATATTTGTATCTCTAAATAGATTCACTATAGAAATATGTGACGCGATTAATCTGATGGTATATATTTGGTATCGTAACTTTTATATATATTTAATTAAATTTAATAAGATTGGTTAAGTTATTAAAATATGAGATGCACACTTATTTTAAGACGAAAGAGATACAATAATACTTTCATGTCTAGTAGTACTCCCTACGATCTTAATTATAATACGTTTTGGATTTTCTAAACATTGGTTTTACTATTTATCTAAACATAGTTTATATCTAAATACATAGAAAAAGTTATGTATTTAAAAAATTCAAAACGTCTTATAGTTCGGAATGGAAGAAGTAGCTACAAAGATGATAGTTAGATTGTGTTGGGTAAATCTACTCAACTAAGAGACAATGAGAAGGTGACTTGACTTGAGTGAAATCATGTTCTTATTTCATGTTCAACGCCGTACGCGTCAGGGGATATATTTAGAGAGAATTTCTTGCATGTCATTAAAAAATCGTAATGCCATGTGAGTCTCTGGAAAAGTTCAGCGGTCTTCAGCGCCACTGCTCTAACTTTTTTATGCCCTCCATACCACTGCCGTCAGTTTAGGTTCTAACGATGTCAAACTGTAGGTGTGAAAAGTCAAAAATACCCTTAAGTCTAAATATGTCATTAATTTTTTGAGCATCTTAACGATTTTAAATGAAAAAACTCAAAACTAGAAAGTTGTAGATCTCGTCAAGATCTATAATTTTTATATAAAAATTATCTTTATTTAATTCCGCAAAAAATATGATTAATATATCTTAGAAAAATCATATCTTTTTTGCGGAATTAAATGAAGATAATTTTTATATGAAAATTATAGATCTCGACGAGATCTACAACTTTCTAGTTTTGAGTTTTTTCATTTGAAGTCGTTAAGATGCTCAAAAAAATTAATGACATATTTAGACTTAAGGGTATTTTCGACTTTTTACACCTGCAGTTTGACACTGTTAGATCCCAAACTGACGGCAGTGGCATGGAGGGCACAAAAAAGTTGGAGCAGTGGCGCTGAAAACCGCTGAACTTTTTCAACGGTTCACTGAGCATTACGATCTTTTTTATTGGCACACAAGAAATTCTCCCATATATTTATAGGGGCGAAAATCTTCAACGACACTACATGGTTCCCATTTCATCCATATCATTTAGTTGACATATTCGAGAGCGGCTATTACATTCACTGAGGACAATCTAGTTAATTACACGCCATGCTACATCCTTTGCGGTACGAAACTTCAATACTTCCGACCTTTGTCCATGTTAATTTTTGCAAAAGCAAAGCCATGGCTTCCATGACTGCTAAGTACCGCACAGTCCCAGCAAAAAAAACATTGTGATTTGTGAGTCTTCGTTCCCTTAAATGGTACATCGCTTGCGTCTTCGCTCTACTCTGAATGTTCTTGCGAAGCCCCTAACGCTTCCTACAATGATCCAAGTTTCATTCTTACAGTACGGGTCAGTTTCATGAAGGCTATTTTAATATGTTGCTCACTCCATCATAAATTATAAGACGTTTTGTCTTTTCTAGATCTATTGTTTTTACTTGTATCTAGATATAGCGTATATCTAAGGGCATAGCAAAAACTAGCCATGGCTATGTATTTGGAAAGGGTAAAATATCTTATAGTTTAGAATGAAGGGAGTATTTGAGAATGCGTTTACCGATATCTAATTCCCAACATATTGAAATACGCTTCTTAAATCATTTGAGACAGGTTTTTACCCGTGAGATATTTATTAGAGTAGCAATCATTCAAATCTTTTATTTTCACAGAGCCATCTTATATTATTTTATACAATAAACTATCATAATATATTGCTACTTAGAAGACGTTTTTAGACTTTACGATGGAAGGAAAATTTTGTACGATTGAAGTCCTCCTTGGTCACCGTGCCTAGGCTTATACGATTTAAACTTTTGAATGGAAGGAGTATTGTCAACAGTTATTTAAAAGTTTGCACTCCATATTGTTTTCTTTTCTTTTTTTTTACTATATTATTATGATTCATAGCTCTAAAATCCTGTGAGCCATGATGACGTGACCTTGATAACCCATGTAACAAATGTTGTCCTAAGGGCCTGTTCGCTTGTAGGAATTCTGAAGGAATTTGGATGGTTTGGAGGAATACTGGAGGAATTTGTGAGAGAAAAACACCGTTCCGGATGAAAAAAGAAGCGGATCAAACCGGGTTTAAGGGCACGCGAACGGGGCCTTAATTTTAGGTGTAAATTTTGAAGATATGGTAGCATGAAAATAAAAGACTTATCTATTTGCAGTATTCAAGAAATAAAGAAAAAAAATAACTAGAGGTCGAGCACCTTGACGGTGCGGTCGAAGAAGTCGGCGACGAGGCGGTCGAGCGAGGGCCGCGCGGCGGGCGAGACCTCGGAGCCAAAGAGTAGGGCGCGGAACTCCTCGAGGCAGAGGAGGAAGGCGTCGAGGATGCGATGCGTCTAGGCGAGGGAGAGGACGTCGTCTGCTGGAGGCGCGAGGAGGTTGGTCGAGGTCGGCGGCGCGGCGCTGGAAGGCGTCGGTGGCGTCACCGGGCGGCGGCGGGAAGGAGTGGATCTGGTTCTGCTCCCGGCGGAGCGACCAGCCGATGGAGGACAGCGGCGCCACCGCCGGCGACGAGGAATCGGTGGCCGACATTGTGCCACGCATCGGGACGGGTTGGGGACTGGGGGAAGGGAGCGTCTGTTGGGCTGGGCGACCGGCTAATTGCTTTGATTAGCTGCTGATGCGGGGGAAGCTGGCTCGTCGGTACCAGCAGCGACCACGCATGAAGAGACGCGGTGTAGCTCGTCTGTGGACGGGGATGCGCGTCCTCCACCGGCGAGGAAGCAGAGGAGCACGAGTACGAGGAGGCACGGGGGCGCCATGTTTGTCGCCGGCGCCGAGGAGGGCGTGCTCCTGTGCGTGCTCCAGGTGCCGCCTTGTTCGTCGTCGGCGTCGGGCGCGGCCGTGGACCTGCAGGCCGTGGCCCCGGCTGCTACTCCCCCAACTCCCCCTATGTCCTGTTAGCCGCCGCCATGGACCCCATCGTCGGTCATGGCCGGAGCTCAAGCAAGGGTGGGATAGAGAGAAGAAATAGATGAGGGGCAAAAATATCATTTCTCGTGGCCGGTTTATGCTGTCAGGTCGTGTTGACGTGTTACATTAACAAAAATAATAAAAATATATTAAATGCTCTCTCTCGATGATAAATATATACATGAGCAATTTAAAAAATGCTATCCGAACCGGTGACATCCATTGCAACGTAAAAAAGTTAAATATCGCGGAACGAGGTGTTCCCCGTCCCAAGAGAGAAGAGCCGAGGAAAAATCTCGCATTCGCAAAACAAACAAAGCGCGTGCCCCCCAAAAAATGGAGGCATGAGCTCCGCCTCCTCCCCGTCTCTCGCCGATCTCCCCCAAACCCTAGCCCCGACCTGACCGCCGGCGGGCCCGCCGACCGGCCGGAGAAGGACTCGCCCCCCGCCCCCCCCTCCCCCACCCCCACCCCCCCACCCCCCAACCTCTGCCGCGGGGCGGGGGGAGCGGGCGGCGGACGAGATGCCGTCGCACGGGGATCTGGACCGGCAGATCGAGCAGCTGCGCGACTGCAAGTACCTGCCCGAGGCGGAGGTCAAGGCGCTCTGCGAGCAGGCCAAGGCCATCCTCATGGAGGAGTGGAACGTGCAGCCCGTGCGCTGCCCCGTCACCGTCTGCGGCGACATCCACGGCCAGTTCTATGACCTCATCGAGCTCTTCCGCATCGGCGGCGACGCTCCCGACACCAACTACCTCTTCATGGGCGACTACGTCGGTGCGTGGCTACGCTTCCCCGCCCTAACTTTCTGCCACGCGGCTCTGTCCTGCTCACGGTTTCTCTCCCCTTAGCTGCTCGCGCGCGGAGCTGTGCTGATGCCTGACTCGGTCGATCTGTGATATGCTAGGTTTGGTGCGGCCGAAGTAGGGGAGTTTTAGATCATGCGGTAAACCTGAAAGGTTGTTGGTTTTCGTGCGTCTGGCCGGATTGTTGGAAGAATCTGGTTATCTGAAATTAGGGAACGTCTTTACTGCTTAACATAGTCTACTACTGGAGTTCTTGTAGTTCGACTTGTTATGCGTTGCTTTTGGGTCTAGCGTGCTAGGATCTTGTTGCCGCTGTTGTCTTTTAGCTCATTTGGCTACCGAGAAGTCAATAGTTCTCATCTATCAACATTTGGATTCCTCCTCCAGCAGTTTCATAAGAATTGTGAGTGTGCTTCGGATTTCACAGTGTAGTTGATTTGTTGGCCTGTTGTTTTCGAGCTGATCTTTATTAAATAATACAAAAAAGTGAACAACTCCCATGTGATTTGGTAATTTAGATATGCAAAAAGTTAAATGCATGAGCTGCCCCTGAACTTGTCAAAGGGTGCCACTTAGGTCGACAAACTTTGAAAATGTATTTTTGGGTCCCTATACTTGTTAAATGGTGCCCTACACGACCTAAACTTGTTAAGTGGTGCACCGCACGGCCAAAACTTGTTAAATGATGCACCGCAGGTCCATTTTCACACCATGCCAACCACTGTGGTGCATCACTTAACAAGTTCATGAATTCTCACCCCTTAACAAGTTCAGGGGCCGCTCATGCAGTTAACCCATATGCAAATGCCATACGATATGCCGTTTATTTGAATGCTTGAAGGTAATTTTATTATTTCATTTTGTGTTGAGGGGATAAATAATTTAGCAGACGTTCATTACTTTATTTCCATGTGTCATTTTTGTTATATTGATTATGTGTCTATTGACTGCAGATCGTGGCTACTATTCAGTTGAAACAGTTTCTCTGTTAGTGGCTTTGAAAGTCCGTTACAGAGATAGAATTACAATACTTAGAGGAAATCATGAGAGCAGACAAATCACTCAAGTGTGAGTTTACATCTACTAGTATTTGGATTTTTTATTGCAACTCGTAATTGCTACTCCCACTTTCATTATTAGTACTTCCACAGTAGCTACAAGTGTTTGGCATGGATTTTTCCCCTAGCATACTTGATCATTTTGTCTTCTCATTCCTCAAATAACCTGTCTACAATAGTAAATGTTTAATAATTTGGAAATGAATAGTTCCACGTAAAGCTCGTTCGTGTAGACAAGGCTTCAGAAACAATCGTTCGATAAGTTATCTTCTGTTTGCTGGACTAGGACAGTGATTGCATTTATCTAGTGTGGTAAACTATAATGTTATTGTTCTGTCAACATGCTTGGCATTGTCAACTACAAGGTTACATTAGGCGCTAGGCGGTGACATTCTGACTAGAGCTTAGGCGAGCCTAGGTGTTCCGCAAATATACATGTATACACATATTACCTCAAAAGAAAAGAAGAAACAAGAGTGTCGGTGCAGAAAGTGACCAACACGTAAATATTTGTAGTTTTGTTGTACGTTGTGATCGGATGTGGCCTAGCACTCAATGACACAGGGTTTATACTGGTTCAGGCAACGTGCCCTACGTCCAGTTTGAGTCGGTCGGTGACTTTATTCCTGAGCCCAGGTGCTCGAAGTTTGCTGTGGGGTTACAAATGGAAGGGAGAAAGATTGAGGGGTGCAAGAGGTCCGGTCGGACTCTGGTCTGAAGGGCCAAGAGTGACGGGAGCTCCGCTATGTGCTAAGTGTTCGAGCGTGTGCTCGGGGTTTGAACCTAGTGGTTCTACTGTTGTGCGTTGAATCGATGTAAGTGAACTGATGGATCTCCTTTTTGGGAGAGAGCGCATCCCCTTTTATAGATGAATGTGACGGCCTTACAAACGAGAGAGAGACTACGTATGCTACTAAGTCTTGTTGTCCACGCCGTCGGTTACAAGATGATTGTAGGCGCCCATAACACTGTTAATGTCAGATGCATGTGGGAGGTTGCGTCGTCTTCTTCTAGTATGGCAGACGTCGGTGCCTGCCATACTGTTATGTAGGCATGTAGGGGGGTTTACCATGTTCGCCTGGTATGGTAAATGTCGTCGCCCACAACACTGTTGATGCTCAGAGGCATGTGGGGGGAGCCTTACCGGGTTTGTCTGGTATGAGAGTTGATGGCGCCCACAACACTGTAGGGAAAATGTCGGCGCCCACAACACTGCTTGGGTTCTGACATACCAGGAAGGTTGTAGGGTACTGTCCTGCAGGTGTACAGGGTACGGTCCTCGGTATTGCGGTTGACTTGAGTGCCCTGTCTTACCTTCTCCGTCCGTTTCCTGGTCCTCACCGAGCGGGCGTCCCCGGTCGGTTGGTCCCAGTCGGCTCCGACTGCTCCAGTCGGAGAAGAGCTGTAAGCAGGGGTTCGGTGCATCCCCGGTCGAAGACGCGGGTCGGAGTCGGAAGTGGTGTTTGGCCAGGCCTTCCGGTCGGAGAGGCAGGCCGGAGTCGGAAACGGGCGTCGTTCCTCCTCGGCCAGGCCTTCCGCTCGAAGATTGGATCGCCCTTCTGGCCTGTCGTTTAGGTATTTGGGCCGGCCCAGGAGTTTGCGCTCATGTGTTGGGCCGAGCCTTTGTTGGGAAGCCGGTTCATGAGGGGCCCCGGGTTTATGAACCCGACAAAGAGACTACAGGCCTAGGTTGGATAGAAAGGCCAATCAAAAGCAGCCCATCCCACCTTATACAATCTCTCAACTTATTCATCCGCCCTCTGACCTCCTCCCAGCCACACCTGCCTCTACTCCCAGCTGCCAGCCTCCTCCCTACCGCCTCCACCACCGCTGGCCTCCTCCCTGTCGCCTCCACCGCCGCCCGCCTCTTCTCGGCCGCGCCTGCCACCTCCACCGCCGCCTACCTCTTCTCGGCTGTGCCTGCCACCTCCACCGCCGCCTGCCTCCTTCTGGCTGCGCCTGCTACCTCTGCCATCACCCGCTGTCCCCCGCTGCCACTAGCGCCCAATGTCCCTGCCTCCTCCTCTGCCAACGCCCACTGCTCCTGCCTCGTCCCCATTGCCGCCCTCTTTTCACCTATTCCTGCCTCCTTCCCCGCCACTCAACATCCCTGCCTGCAGGGATCTGCACGTAAGGACACTGGGTCGCTGCCGAGGGCCTGCCTACACCCCAAGGCGATGCGGTACCCCTCCACCTAGCGCTTACTCGCGCATAAGCGGCCGTGGAATACCACCTTTTGGAACACTACGTTGGTTGCATGAAGACATCCAGCTAGGGGTCTGGCCACCTGATTGCCATCAATTTTGTGCCCTAACAAGGCACTGCTAACTGTCTCCTGTGCTTTTCCTTAAAACCTTCCATGGGTTTTACTGCTGTCATTGTTTCTCTATGCAGCGTCCTAGGTCATTGAAATGAACTCCACTTGTTTGCATGACACATGCACACAATGGACCTGTACACTGTTGTGTTTCCAAGCTATTCTGTGAACTTTGTAGTGTATGCCTGTAGTGCAACAACACAGTTGTTGACCTTGATTGGTTTGTTTCAGGTATGGCTTCTATGATGAATGCTTAAGAAAGTATGGAAATGCAAATGTATGGAAGTATTTTACAGACTTGTTTGATTATTTGCCTCTCACAGCTCTTATAGAAAATCAGGTATGCAGCTCAATTTGTTATGGTTGATGCTATTATAGGTTTGCTGAATATATGCCTTTGACATTTGAGAAACATCCATTTTGCAGGTCTTCTGTCTTCATGGTGGCCTCTCTCCGTCATTGGACACATTGGATAACATTCGTTCTCTTGATCGCATACAGGAGGTAAGCACAACATTGCACTGCTTTCATTATGAACCAGGTTTTCTTCTTTGCCTCCAGTATATCATGCTGTGACTTATCGATGTCTTGTATGCTGCAATGGTTTTAAATTGCCTAGTTGAGCCCTAGTCATATGGGTAGCGGTCAGGTTCATTTGTTCGGTGTCTAGTCAGCTAGTCAGGCAGTATAATTGTCCTGCCTACTTGCACTGCTTGTGTGAAGAAATTAAAAATGCCATCAATCTATTGTTTGCTATTGGAGAAGTGAACATCATTCAGTGCGAACTCATCCCAACAATTTAGACAGATTCAGTGAAGCCCCTATTCTCCCAGTACAAATTATACTGCGACATCTTATAGATATAAATCAAACATAATTCTATTCATGATTAGGCAAAAGCATATCTAATTCAGTCTCTCACAAGCATAATAAAAATACATAATAAAAATAAAACATTTAGGCACATGAAACTACAAATAGGAAATAGCCTACAAATATCTTGCTGCTTGGAAACACGAAGTGCCAATTGATCTTTCCTATCGAGGCACAAATAGTGGATTTGGTGGATGAGGATGAATATCCGAAGTAATATTTCAAAGCTTCATAAGAGTCGCTGACCCTTGCCAAAGAAACGTGGGGCATAGAAAAAGTCCAATATATAATACTCTTGTTGGCATAGCTGTTACAGAAGTGGAGAAGGAAAATTAATGCATGTTCATTACTGATGTACGACTTTGTTTAGCCTTAATGGGAAGTGGGAGTGGTGATAGCACCTTGAATGTGAAAAGGTGCTCGATGCAAGCTAAATTGATTAATTAAAAGGAGAGCAATGGGGTAAATGGCTTGTACGGTTGAGCTAGGAATGCAATTTATTTGGAGTTCATCGTTGTCTCTTCATTTTCTGATTATATTTAGTGGGATTGTAATTTAGTGACCGAGCTTAATAACTTGTTGGGTCTTGTGGGATGACGTGGCTTCATGAAATTGCAGAGAAATCTGCTAGTGGGGGTGTCCTATTCAGTTATAGTAGATTCTAATATTGTTATATCGGTCCTAAATATACAGGATGATTATGACCGACTAGGCTTGACTAATCAGGCTGGTTGACGACTAATCATGATTAGTCGCCTGTCGGTCCCATGGCAACTAGGGTCGACTAAATGATTTGATAAAATTGCTTAATAACACTGATATGCTGTAGGTAGTTTTGTGATGTTGGGAGAATTAACATATTTATGTATTTTTGGGTATGTGCAAATAGTAGATCAGGCATGTCCGATGTGGTCGTAATGTTTGATGTTTATGTACAGAACTGTGGATCCTTAATACTGATTAAGCCATTAAGGTACAAACATGGTGCTCTAACCATGATACAGTTATTTATCTAGACAGATGCCACCATATTTGATTATCTCAAGTCATGCTGATGCAATTTTGTAACGACATTTGATTTTAGAGGGACTCTCAACATCGTTTAATCTTCTCATGGAATTGGCTTACCTAAGGAGAACTAAAGCACGGCAACTAAAAATCAGCAAATTTAGGCATGTGATTGAATCATGAAAGCTTATATTGAAAGCCGACATTTTCCAACACTTATTCTGTCACTTTACACTTGCACTTTGCAATACAAGGGATTTACCTTGATCTATACTTGATACCATTTAGTGTTAATCAGTGACTGATTTGAGGTCTTAATTTTCTCAAATGACGCAGGAGAGCTGCGTGTCATTTCATTAAGAGAGGAGAAAGGTATAAGGGCAAGCTAAAACAGCCCCACCCGAACACACCACACAACTGGCTATCTACCCCCCCCAAAAAAAAAAACCACTGACTGACTGAAGTAGAGATCACAACCAAGGGGTTTAGCCTACTAACCAGAACCTGAAGTTCTGGGGCAAATGACCTAAAGAGCAGATCCTGGAGATTAGAAACACCCGCCATGCACCATATACTACACTCATCAACCACTGTTTTAGGAGACCCATAATATTTGTCAAATCTCCATCAAACACACAGGCATTCCTATGTTTCCTTCCTAGGCCACTAAAAGGGTCAAGGAATTCAGCCCCTTGTGGCATCTCCTTGGGAACATTTCTGACAGTGTTCCTCACCATCTATTAGCCTGTTTCGTTTGGAGATTGAATCCATTCCAATGGGCTGGTCAGGCACCAAAAAGAATCAGCTTGTCTGCCGTTTTTTGTGGAATGACTTTGCCCGAGAGATGAGCTCGCTGTTGGTTCGTGGGAATGCTGCACGTGGAACAGTTCCATGATGAACGAGCAGTGTTATCAAAGCATCGCTTAAGCGCCAAAGCGCTGCGGGCGCGACAACACAGCAGACGCTTCGCCTTATATTCGTATGGCGTCCATCTTATGGCCGAGGCGTATGAAAAACGTCGATTTGGCGTCTGATTCGCGCCAAATCACTCTTGGCGGGTGCCATACTGGGAGGCCTCTGTTCTGGGCGGGGGGAAAACCCATGAGAAGAATTTGGAACGGCGGGAAAAACTGAGAGAAGGATTGCGCTGGAGAGAGGAGCACGCAGAAGAAAGAGAGCGCGTGGGAGATTCTCACACCAGTGAGCGGGAGAGTGGGAGGGGAGCAAGAAGCCGCAGCTCACCTGTGCCGACGCGTTCCCCCGCGCTGACGGGAGAAGTTGCCGCCAGCCCACCGCCGAGCCATGCGGCTGCCTGTGCAGGCCACGGCCATCCTCCCCCAATCGGCGCTGGCCTGCAACATCCTGCCTCTGTTCCTCCATCGAGCTGCAGCTTCCAAAGCCCTTCTGTTCCTCTGTCTATCAAGCAAGCAGAGCAGCACATCTGGAGGAGAGAGGGAAGCAAGAGACAGAGAGGGGCGGAGGTGGAGCGGTAGGGGAGAATGAGAGAGAGGTGCGGCGGCGCTAGAGAGAGAATTGGGAGTTCAAGAGATGAAGCAGGAAGGTGAGGGGCATATGTTCCTCCTTTCTTTTTCCTTTTTCCTTTTCGTTTTTCCCCAGCTCTTCCAAATTCTTTTCCAAGGACCAAACTTGATAGTTCCCAATAAAAGGCAGCATGGGATGATTTGCTCGTGTAGGAGCCTGATTGGGTCAGTTTCCATCGGTGCTGCTTAGGAGTATCTGGTTGCAAAACCATATCATCCACTAAAGTCCCAAATATGTAGATACTCGACCAGCACTTTGTAATGTTTAAGCTCCTTTGGTATCAGGAACCCAAGTGCAGTTGTGAAGTGCCTGAGCTATTGTCTGGGTCTTGACTGTCCTTTTTGAAATCATCTTGTCATCTTGTGCGAGTAGGAGCTAGTTCTGCTATCCTTCCTTGTAGCCATGGGTCAGCCTAGAACCGTATCTTGTCTCCATTTCCAACTATAGAGCCCAAAGCCACATCAAAGAGAGCTTGGGCATTTTCCAGTACTTGAATTGACAGCAGCCCATGGACACAAAGGGTCTGTCCTTTTCATAAAGCCCAACCCAGAGTTTCAAGACTATGTATACCCAAACCACCATATTCTAGTGGTCGCTGTACTCTTCCCAGGACACCAAGCAGTTACCTCCTGACCTCCATTGGCTTGTTCCCTGACCTTTCCAAAGAGAGCCTGTGTTTTTGTCGTTGGCTTTGGTCAACCATTTGGAAGATCCAAAGCGATCTTAAGAGAAATGGGAGTGTCCGTCATCACCACTCGGACCATAATAAGAAGCCCAGCTCTATTCATTAGGGAAGCCTTCCACCCCGGAACATTGTCAGCAACCTTCTCAAACAGGTAGACATTGTGGACAGTAAGGAGAAAGCCTAGGTAGGTGCAAGGAAATTCCTTTACTGTACAAGACAAAATTTCAGATGTATGCTGCAAGTCTTCATCAGAGCAATGAATGGGAATTGCAGAACTCTGCCAAATTAGTTCTCAGATCCGAGACATGTCCAAACCTATCCAGAAGCTTGGTAACGTTGACATCATTGCAAGACGGCCATAGAAAAATCACAGCATCATTGGCATAGAAAGATACCCAGTGCTTGAAGTGGCTTGTTTTTTCTCATTCTTTTTTTACCTTTATTTATTTATTTAGTTTTGGGTGGGTGGGTGGGTGTCGGGGCGGGGGGATAGTGAACTATTTTTAAGAAGGTGCCTTTTGAATTTCTGTTACTATGATTACAGGGTTTGTTAAGAGACCTGTTTCTTTTTGAGGTCACCTTACTTTGTTATGCGCATTATTATGCATATAACGAAAAATAATTAAGCTGATAGTGCCAGTTAACCTGAATGTTGAGGTGATGCTTATGGATGCTAGGAAATGGTGCCCAATGTGATGGGTCTTGAATTGATAGCTTGCTAATTCTTGCGCTGTATTAATTGAATGCATTATACATCTAATCTTTTTAACCCTCAACTCATATACCTAAAAAATGTGTGCAGGTTCCTCATGAAGGACCCATGTGTGATCTTTTGTGGTCTGACCCAGATGATCGATGTGGATGGGGAATTTCACCAAGAGGAGCAGGTTACACATTTGGGCAAGACATTGCGCAGCAGTTCAACCATACAAATGGTCTCTCTCTCATTTCAAGGGCCCATCAACTTGTAATGGAAGGATTTAATTGGTGCCAGGTAGGTCTTCAGAATGTAGTGTCACATTTTCAATTTGTTTATATGCTCAACCAATTGGATTGGTATCACGAAAAAGTATACTAAATTGTGAATATAACCTTTGTAGTTCCTTTCTAGCTCAGCTTGCAGTTACAATATGGCCATTGTGGATTCCTTTCTCATAGAACTTACTACCACAGTACCACCCTTGTGGTTGCAACTTGCTGATTTTGTATCTTTGGTGTGCTGCCCTTTGAATGTTATTTTGCCCAGATATTATCCCACTGAAAGCTTAAATGGTTATTGTTATAATTGATGCAGGATAAGAATGTAGTCACAGTCTTCAGTGCGCCTAATTATTGTTACCGATGTGGTAACATGGCTGCTATTCTTGAAATCGGGGAAAACATGGACCAGAACTTCCTTCAATTCGACCCGGCACCTCGGCAAATTGAGCCAGACACAACTCGCAAAACCCCAGACTACTTTTTGTAATTGTGGTGGTGACCTTAACTTACTGGTGTTGATGCTCCTCTCTTCCGCAGCATCAGGGTCTGTAGATCTTCTGTCCTTAGATATGGGTTTCATGGGCCCGACCTGTACGTCTCCCAATTCTTTTGTTTGGAGATTTTGTTGCTGCTTCTCGATCTTTATACAAGATGTTAAAAGTTAAGTGCCAGTGGATTTTTTTTTTCTTTCTGTTGTACGTCGACTTTGTATTATTTGTAGACAGTGAATGGAAGTCGCAGTAGGAACGCCCCCTGCTATGTTTTTATTTCGGCTTAGAGATGTATCATCCGTGTGGCTGAATAAATTCTATCCAGATGGGAAGATTTTGCAGCATCCCAATCTGATTTGCTGTATAATGTAATGTTGGTTGGCGCCTTGCAGTTTCATTCTACATACATGTGATGGCTATAATGGTTTCTAATATCATTTAGGTACATCAGATCATTCAATATGTACAAACGAGATGACGCTTACTCGACAGTTTTACAGTTTAGTCATGCTTACGTAATTTTGCTGCTATATTCGAGACGTGCCAGAACATTTGGGCATGGCATATTGCAAGGACAAAAATCCACAGGGCAAAAACAACTAGTAGGACAAGAATTTTGTTCTCGACGGCACAGTAGATGTTGGTGTTTAATCACGAGAAGAAATCAGAACACAGCAAATCATATGCGTGAACAGGATGTTTGCCCTTGCATCGTTTCTCTTGGTTAACAGTGGGACATGTAACGCTGAGTTCAAGCGTCACAACATGTCCTGGCTTTACAACATCAACATGCATCTAACTTCCGACTGATCAGGCTTCGTACCATGTCAGTGAGCTCGCGATCAATAGCCTGCTTGGCAAGTCCCCCGGGCAAGGTGCAATGTACGTCAGCTTCTTCCTAGAATGTAGAATGTTAGTTCTTGGTGCGTACACATAATCTAAACTCACATATTAGCACTAACTCTTAAGCATACCTTTGGATGTCAACATCAGTAACATGAATGAATCCGGCAATATTGCTGCAATGTATCGTGTAGCAGGTGTTAAACGAACTTGTGATGAAATGAAAGCTGAAAATTCTGTTCAAAGAAAGCTGTATGGCAAAAAAAAAAAAAAGTAATCTAGCAGCAACCACACAAGTAAATTTTCATCATGCCCAATATGAACACACTAAAAAGAAGAGTATCCTCCATACTATCTTTGTCCAAAGCATGAGTGCATGACAACTAAAATCATTCCTAAGAAAATATTTATTGCCAGGATTTGAGCCACTTGACAGATGAAAAACTTGCTGCAAGATAGACTAATCAGACGACTTTGGCATCTCATATCTATATCTAAATATGATTCACTGCTGACGACACCCAAAAGAGTAAGCAGTAACATAAGCAAGATGGAATTGCCATGAACTTACGAGCTTATGGCAAGGAGGGGCATAACTGTGCACAGGTTCATGCAAAAGATGTGCAGAAGAAAATTCAAGAAGTGGCTAAGCTACTGGTGAATTGGATGATAACAAAATCAATAAGTCTGAAGAACGGAAAACAATATTGAGTGCCTAAAAATGTGGTAGAACAACGATATGCAAGCAAATCCAAGGCTCAATTACTTGCACCATGTATTTTGATTTTCTGAAGGCTGGCATATCAGCTGTACTCTATAAATAACGTAGCCTTTTGTGATCTACTACCTCTAATCCGAGTCACTTTTCCATAAAAGCTATCTTATTGGACCAAGCCTGTAACATAAGTTAAACCTGGCACAAAAATATTACCTAGAAATTATTTCATCAGGTTCCTTAGCATAGGAAACAGCAAGCACTGTATGGATCATATCCGTGCTAATGTTGACAGCAACAAGTCGAGTAGGATCTGCCACAGGCTCTGCACCGATAGGTAATGCTGAACGGGGAGCTTGATGGCCACCACCGATTTTGTACACGGAGACATCACTGAAATTGACAATGTTTGAGTGCGGTGCAAGATCATTTGCAATCCCATAAAAGTATTCCTGCAAGAGTACATTAGGACTTGGCTTTAACAAGACAGCAAAACATAAGGTTGAGACGGTGAAACATTACCCCATAAAGGTAGTAAGGGCAACAATAGAAGAGGGGAAAAAGAAAGAGGCTAAGACTGTGACAGTGTACAATGATGACAACTATGCTATCATCAATAAAATTTCACATTAGATAAGAAACAAAGCCTTTTTAGTTTAAACCAATGTTTAAGGGCATAGCTGGTCACTTTCTACTCCAGAAAAATAGCTTACCCTGATTCGGAAGCTTCTCGTTTTTTGCCGATATTTTGAATTTCTGAGGACAACACCCTCTGATTTATGAAGTTTTACAACATCAATGTTGGACTTGCTTTGAACTGCATCTTTTAACATCTTCCAGAGTTTCTCCTGCAAGCCATAAGATCAATCAGATAATACCCAGAAGAGCTTCATTATCATATGGTTTCATAATTATACATTTTACATTCAAGATAAAATGACTAATATTACAGAGCTCTCTAGAGCACTCTATATCATATCACGCTACAATGTGTGCCAATATGACAAATCATACATGTTAATAGTTGCAATTGTTAGCGACATCTGCCATTTTTCCTACTTGACACTTGTGCTTATATGCACTTTTTTCTCTCTTCACCATTCTGAATATCAGTTGCTGCAGCCTGAGCACTCTTTTGACTATTATCTAGAATTAGACATGTCAGTAGAAAGCTTTATTTCCAGCAGCTGAGGTTTCTTCATATGGCCCAGATTTTCTTTTGGCTTATTTGAAAAGAAATATCTCAATTAACTTCCATATAGCACACTTGATGCATCAATAAAGCATAATGATACTGATGATCTGTTTATATAAGAAAACATGCCGAAAGGGATACTGCTAGCAGAGTATGTTTTGTTTCTACTTGAGATTAGCTGCTACTTACTGCTGCAACACATTCCTACTAGTGTCCAAGATGTCTCTACCAGCCCCAAAAACAAATATCATCTTACTCAATAGGATCTAAATTCTTTTATGAACGATTTTATAGGGAACTGTTATGGCAAGTGGAGCCGGACCAGGGGCCCACGCGGTACTGTAGCGCGTGAACATAACAGCGTGAACAGTACGGATTAGATTAGATTAGATTGGTTTGGTTTGTTAGGAAAGGAATAAGATAGATTGATTCGATTAGGATGTTTCCTTAGGGGTCAAGTCAGTCATCTCTATAAAAGAGAACCCTGTATCAGTTATAATCAAGCAAGAAGCAACAATTAAGTTGCTGGCTTCCCCTGGGAGCCAGCCATCCCTGCCCTCTCTCCCTCGCGTGAACAGTACCCCTGCGGGTACTGTAGCCCTCCCTCAGCTCTCTCCCTCTCAATCCTAGCAGCCACATAACAGGAACATTTACTTTTAATTTTAAAATGATCATCATGGAACCTTGATTACAGCATACTGCTATAACAAAATGCTTGGTTGCCTATGACGTTTGGCTATAAGTTGAACAAATAATATAGAGTATGTTTGAGCAGTTATGAGTGTGAAATGAAACACAGGATGAGTCATCTACAGCATAAACCTTCTGAAAAAAAACAGTAATGTTCACATGAACAAAGCAATGCACAACTTGCCTGTCCCAGTACCAGTACTACATTGGCCTTGAAGGTTTCAATTGCATTGAGAAGTAACTGCAGAGTGTAAAAATGAAGCATCACTTACTACACACAGGGGAACAGTATGAATCTGAAAAATGGCCATTAGTTACTTGAAGCCAACCACTAACCTCGTACCCAAGGCCTTCAACCCACCCCATTGTATTGATAACCATTCCTGCTGCCCTAGATTCAGCATTGCCAGAGAACTGTTTCTCCAATGTTTTAGCTAGCTCCTTCATAAGAACTTTGTAAACATCCGCATTAATACTGTTGGTAACACAAGCAACGGTTAAGGTGCCAAAGAAGTAGACAAAAGAACAGTGTTAATGCAGAAAGCTCCGAGTAGTATCAACTGCCAAAGAATATAGTAGAGAGATACCTTGGATTTGGGTGGCCATAGAAGTATACCAGTGGCATCTCCAAGGGAATCCCATCAACTATATCTATAGGTTTCTCAATTGGTGTGGCAGAAATACATCCAGGGATTGTTATAGACCCCTGGCCAATATCTAAATCGACATATGTAGGCTTCCAGCCCAGTTTGGCAGCCCAGCTAAGGAGCATCTTGCAGAGAGTACTTTTTCCGGAATCTGTTGGCCCCACAACAATCACTCTAGGTCCCTAAGCCAGATATGGTGAGAAAACTTCAGTGAAATAGTCCACAGGGAAAAGGAGATAAATATAGGGTCTGATTGGTGGCTTGTATTAGCCTCAACCTAAGTTAGCATAAACATATGCAGTGTCTTGGTGTTTAGTTGTTCTGCACAGGCAAACCACATTTGATAAAATTGTATTTGATTGTTTACATTTTGTTGCATGTAGTCACATCCATGTTATAGTTGAGGTCTCATGTTTCTAGTAGAGGTACGGAGGATGAGAATATTTCATTTTTTGTATGCGCACTGGCTTGTATAAACATGTATTGTCTAATACGACCAAATCTGGCATACTAGCTAATCCAGCATTAGGTCTGCATAAGAGCCTACCAAACACGAGCAAATTGCACTGCACAAGCTTGGATACATGCTAATATAGGCAGCCAATCAAACCCATAATCACAAAGGTCCCGTGCCAAGAACAACAGCTCACTATTCATGTTCACAAGTTCAATCTATGATAATGTTCTGCCACACTTGTACCCTGTTAGGGTTTCAGTAAAATTTGTGCCTACACAATCATATGGAACATAGAACCATATTGCCATCTAGATGTTGTCGTCAACACAGAGTTACATTTGATAACTACATTCTGATCTGTCTTTTGAACATAATGTCAAAATCACACAAGACAATATCACTTGTAGGCTTGCTTATGTCTTTGAACATTAATGAAGAATTAAAAGTGGCGCTATGTCAAATTTCATATTGTTTTAAACTCACTCTAACTATCTCTAGGAATATACGAAACTAACATCCACACAGTCGACCAAAAATCAAGAAAATAAGCTGACTAACTAGTTGTTCTATGAGATAAAGCTTTGCATCAACTACAGATCCTAAACTATGCAACAATACTACGATCAAATGGTCATGAGATGAATTGAATCGGGATAACTCACCTGTGAGGCCTCCATATCGCCCCCCTGAGCTGCAGCAGCCCTCGCCCTTGCCCTACGGGCATCCAGAATGGCGTGCGTGTTGATGTAAATTACCATTGGAGTCTGTAACCCACAATAACAAAATCATCTCACCACAGAATCACCCCCAATAACCTCATTATTCCCAAATTTACACAGAAACGATGCCAAAAAAGAGAAGGCCACCGAGCGCTCACCTCGTCAGACGCGTACTCGCTCTCGCTCACCCCATCCAGTTCCACCGTCGCGCCGTGCCAGGTGAAAATCTGAGCAAACAAACACAAACGGCGACTGAAATCAACACCGACGAAGAATGGCCGCAAAAGCAGGAAGAGGGGGCCAACTGGGTTTGCTTACAGCGATCTTGGATCGGGGAGGGACGGGGACCCAGCCCTCCGGGGGCAGCTCGGTGCCGAAGATCTCCGCCGTGCCGGTGACGAGGCGCACTCGGAGGGGCGCGTCGGGGAGCACCTCCACACGCAGCTCGCTCTGCGGAGCTAGCTTGTACTGCCGTGGCGGTTGCGGGGTCGCGGCTCCGGCCCCCGCGGTTGTCGCGGCGGCCATGGTAAGGGGGTTTTGGAGACGGCGCGACGGCGAGGGTTTGGGCGTCGCCGGGGCCGGAGGGCTGAGGGATTTTGGGGGTGTCCGGATCGAAATGCTATATTTGAGTGTTTGTTTAAGTTATTTTTCCTCGTAAACAAAGTATCGATCTTCAAAATTTTGTAAATTTTAATTAGCTAGTACTGTTCTATTTCAATTTTCAAATGGTAAATCGCTTTTAGCTTTTCTAGATACATTAATTTTATTATACTAGCAAATATGCCTGTGCGTTGCAACGGGAGAATAAAGTACCAAACATTTAAGAAAAACAAGGACCAAAATAATACATATCTCTTTATATTTTACTCTTTGTATATAAAATTTCATCTAAAAATTGTGCTTGAAAAGATATTTTTAGACTAAACTGAATAACTAACTTAGTCCATAGTTTGATTGATTGAATCATATCGGCTGAGCAAGGTTGTAACAATATAAGATACGTTTTATTTCTAATTACAACCGTACCAATAGTTTGGTGATGACAAAATATATATTTCTTAAAGAAGAGGTCAAGGGCTTAAAGGCGTATAATATTGTTATTATATTTATTATTATATTATTATTGATATTTTTGGGGAATGAATAAATTAGAACAAGAAGTTGAAAACTGACGATTGAAACAGATGCTTATAAAGCTTGAAAAAAGAACTAACGAAACCATTTGGAACAGAGACACATGAAAAAAAGAGCATACCTAGTCTAGACGAGCCTTTGATTTGATCGTTGTTTTGTTGAAGAAGATATGTATAGTTGGGGCAGCACTCGCGACGGCTACGATGAGCTTGGGACGTTCAATGCTAGCACACCGATGACTTCTTGTCAGGGCTGCAGCTGCTGAAAAGCACTGTACCTACAGCAGCAGCAACAGCAGCTCAAATGGTTTGCTTTAAGATAAGTCGAACATGTCATTATTTCTTTTTTACTAGCAAATATGCCCGTGCATTGCAACGAGGGAAAAAAATTATTAAACATTGATGCAAAATGATAACTTAAATGGTACATATCTATTTATATTTTATGCTTTTATAATTTATTTTGTGATGACCATCACATCCATAACATAAGTTAATGCTGATAATAAATAACAATGTCCTATTAAAACAATATCTAATTAAAATACACATTGGTATATTTTTCCTTCCATAGCAAAGTGCATAATTATTTAGATATAAATATATCAGAACCTTAATTCTCCATACTACCCATGTGTTCCTATGACTCAATATAGAACTTTGTAGCTTTTTTGACGCATCATATCAACCTCCTTAAATTTTCTCTCGATGCGTAAAGGATTGGACTGTCCGCCAATGATTATGATGGGAGACCTCTCTTGATTTTTCACACGGCAGCCCTTGTCAGGAATTACATAAATACATTTGTTTAGATTTCATTAGACAATAATCTGCACAAGATTTCGGTTCATGAAATAATTAGTTGTACCATCGACTAATCTATATTTTAATAAAAATAAGTTTTGTTTCTAATCAGAACTGCATAAGATGGTGTAAATCTTTCTCCTCAAAACTTAATGCACAAATAAACTTAATAATTGCTGAAAAGTAGGGGTTATATACCAGGGCTTGCCTTAGGTAGGAACCGGACATCGAAAAGTTAGTGAAGGCTTTGGGAACACCAACGACGAGGACATCCTCCTCGTACCCCTCGGCTACCTCCGCGTATTCCGGTTCTGCCTCTCGCACATTCCCAGTCATCGCCGAACCTATATATAATTGCTGAAAAGTAGGCGTATACACGAGGGTTTACCTTGGGTAGGAACCGGACATCGAAAAGTCAGTAAAGGCTTCTTGGAACACCGACGACGAGGACATCCTCCTCGTACTCCTCAGCCACCTCCGCCTATTCCGGGTTTGCCTGTGGCATGTTCTCGGTCATCGCCGAACCTATATGCATGCAACATATGCAAGAATGATTTAACACACCTATAAACAAAGCATAACCTAACAAGATTCATAACATCTATTGATAGACCATATTTTTATGAAGCTAACAGAACTAGTTTGATATTTTTCTGATTTTTATATGATTTTTGACGAATTTTGCAAGATCTTTTTTTATAGAAAAAGAGAAAAACGAAAGAAAAAAAAGGCTTGCATGGGCTTGGTCCAGCCCACAACGAAGCTGGCCCAACTGCAAGGATTTAGTCCAGGTTGAGAGAGAAAAAAAAGCCCACCAGAAGAGGCCCACTCGGATCGGGACATTTTGCATTAGGAACTCAGATCTATTTCAAAAATTATTAAGACCCTCCCACTTTTTCTTTCTCTCAGGTGTCTTTACATGTGAAACCCCATATTTCTTTTGGCAATTTTACGGTAACCTTGAAGGGACTCAGAGTGCAAGACCGAGCCGGTCTTGGGAAGGCTGGACGAAAAAGCCAGAAATTTTGACTCTTTAGTATTAGGTATAGATGAGTAACCGACATTATTCTAACTCATCGAACGTGCATGCGCACGGCGGCATGCCTAGCGCAAGAACCGGCGCAGTTGCTAGGGCTGCCTCTCTCTTTTTAGTAGTGAGTTTGCTCGCTTCTCCTTTTTTTTTTGGTGTGATATGATTTGGATTGTTTTGCTTATTATTGATTGATTCTAAGCTAATGCACCTGGAGGAGGACTCGATCTCTTGCCGGGCACCAACACCAACGCATCGTGGTAGGACTGGTCTCCTTGCCGGGCACAAACTTTGGATTGCGGTCATCAATGCAATATGCGTGTGTTGCAACGTGAGAGAAAATAGATATCATACAATTGTTACATATCTATTTATGTTTTATTATTTCTATAAAATTTAAAGTTTATAATTTATTTTGACGAGCATGAAATATATACTATCAATTAGTATTGGCAATAATATAATAATATCCTATTAAATCTATATCAAAAAATAATACTTTGATAAAAACATTCACCCATTGTAAGGCACACCGTAGTTTTAGATTTGATAAATATCTATGTAGGTAGAGTTTAATATTGACTTACAACCCTTGTCGAGGATTGCAATGGTACTTACGTACAACTTGTTCAAAATTTGCTCATTATTTGAATTTGATTAAATGGATAATTGGTTGATCTGGGTTCTAAGAAAAATAAGTTTTATTCATAATCAAAGCTATATCTAAGATTGGAAGGTGAAGGAGTTGATTTGGACTGTTCTGATTCCATGCCTTTGCCACTGAGATGAACTTGTTTTTGGCAAAAAGAAAGCTCAGGCGAGTTGACTCTCAAATTCACATCTCCCCAAGTATCTTGCCAGAACAAACATGTTTGCCCATTTTTGACATCCACCAAAGCCATTTATTCGTAAGTTTGCAAGCCTTTCAGGTTGTCTCTCCACCAGAATGACCCCCCTTTTTTGTGTGGTTTGGCACTTGGCAGCCTACCATTAGGGTAATGCTTCTCCCAAATGAGATGAACCCAAGGGATGTCTGACTTGTTGAAAATCTTGTGTAAATTCTTTAGCAGTAGAGCTTTGGTTCTGTTTCTCAATGTCTATTACCCCCAAACCACCTTCATCCTTTGGTATGCAGATCATGGTCCAGGCTGCTTTTGGCTGTACCTTTTATGCTTGGTTACATGAACACTCTATCGATGAAATAAAGCATCTTACTTTGCTTACAGACATATATGGGCACTTCCCACTGTATCGAAGAGCAAGCATATATATCTCCACGCAGGGTCACGCCAAAGGTACAAAAACTTGATACTCACTCCATTACTGCGAGCATATTTAAATACGAGTGCAGCGAGGCAACGTCATGCATGTCTTGCGCTTTCGTGTCCCCTAATTGAGATGAGATCACTAAAGATAAATGGGGAAGAAATTGGCGGGGGCAACCTGATGGCGAAAAACAGGTAAGACAAGATGCAACTTCTTTCTCTTAATTAATTTATGTAGACACTTCATAGCATTCTTTAGGTGATAAACTCTAGAAAGCAGTATGTGATATCCCATCTCCTTTCACCGTTTATTAAGTGATGTGAAATGCATAGCTTCACTTTTCAATTCCAAATTTAACACTTCTTAAATTCTAGTCTACACCTCCAACTAAGAAAAGGTGGACTCTTTGACATTCAGTTGCGACATAATTTAATTTTGAAAACTGAAATTGGCTTCACAATGCAAATTGGCTGCTGCCCCACAATGCAAAGGTGTCAGCTGAAGTTCCTGACACCGGTCACTACAGGAATTAAGATTCCCCAAGTCTCTTTCAGTTTCCATATATTTTCAGAATTTAATTTTGAACAATTTCAAGATTTCCCAAGTGTCTTTGTGAACATCATATCTGACTGTTATTGGCCTATTTAGAATTTTCTCAAACGATGACGGTTTTATTAGCGCACTTTGAGACGTTTCTCACAAGTTGTTTCGAGAGTTTTTGTTCGCAATTTGTTTTCAGATAAGTTATAAATCCCTCAGCCACCTGACAAAAAATGAAGAAAAGAATAATGTAACTGATACTATAGATAAGCACCTCGTCCCTGCCAACTTGCGACAAGAAGTCCCACAATTTTTTTTAAAAAAAAATGTTTTTTCAGTTTTCACCCAAGCTTCATGGCCTCACGCTGCACGACCATTTTTTGAGGAATCAGGAGGCTCCTACTGCAATTTATTAACAAAAAGTAGTTAACAGAGTGACAACATTACAAAGGATAAGTAAAGATAGCAAGCGTCCTACACCCCTCCCCCACCCAACTGGAAACCTCAGGGGTCAGAGAAGGAGAAGAAAAAAATCCAAAAGATTACAAGTTGGAGTTGATCCATGATTCTAGGAGGGGGATGATTCTAGCCTTTGTTCTGGCTGCACGACCATTCATACCCACCCATATGGGACGCGAGCTTTCAACGGTTCAACCACATGCCCACAAAGTTACCTTGCCATCCTATCTATTAACAGCAATAACTGATAATGATGATGCAATATTTTTCCTCTTTTACTTTGCTGTTTCAAA